GTTTATGTGTGTGTGTTTGTGTGTGTTGTTTGTGGGCAGAGCGAGATGCGTCAGAAGTATGCCAGGAAACACTTGGAGAAAAGGTTGCAAGCCCAGCCAAAGAATACGTACTTTCTCATTGTTTCCCTGGATATCTTTGCGACCATTGCCGTGTTCATAATGTACCAGTCTGGTGTGTCCGTTCCAGCATCTTCACCAGCTCCTGCAGGTGGCTTCTCTACTGCAACATGGCCCTTTCCATCTGTAGCCTTCTCCTCTTGAATGTGGGGCGCAGGTGTTGCTGCTTCCTCCACAGACTTTGACACGTTTGCAGTTGGAGGCCCCATGCTTACATTCTGCTCTGGAGCATGATCTGAAGCCCCAACCTCAAGCTCCCTCTCAGAGTACGCCGGTGCTTCCAGCCTCATTGTACTGCCCACCTCCCTCGGCAGGTTGACGCTCCCGTCAGGTGACACTGGAAGTCCAAGAACTGTACCTCCCAGTCCCACGGGCCCATTGTTGCTCCCAGTCGGTGAAAGTGGGAGAGGAATAACCCGCCTTCGCATCCGACCTTTTGGAGCATTGCCCCATGAGGCAGCCGAAACTGGTGATCCTATAGCTTGACCCCTTCCACCAGGAGGTCCAATAAAGCTTCCATTTCCTGAGAGTGGCATGCCAACAGAGCTCCTTCCTAGCCTGGCATGAACTTCAGTCCTATATGATGACATGGGTGTTCTCATTGGTTGATTTGCCCCCCTTGCTCTGCTTCCACTTACGTTTGGTGACAATGGCACAAGCCTGCGGATTCCTGATTCTGCATGGGAGAAGGCACGACCACTCCTGGGACTTGGTGGTCTGCCCGAGGAGGCCATACCAACCCATCCTGTACTCTCGGCAGCACCGACTGGTACCTGACTCCCGTCTTCACCCCACCGCCCCTCCTTTTGCTTGGCTCGCTTCATCCACCCGGGCATTGTGCGCATTCCCAGTCCAAGCTCCCAATCTCGTCCATCCCTTCCATCTACTTCTCCTTTGCCCCCTTGCATCCCAGACTCAGAGCCACACCGCCAGTCTGCCAACATCCCACCAGCTGCATTGTGCATAGACCCGAGAGCTCTCGAATCTGCAACTGCAGGGGGCCATGCCCTGCTTCCTTCCTTCTCAGCGGTCATTCTTCCACTCCCCAACATCCCACTTCCTGAAGTCAGCACCCTATCCCGCTCACGCTCCTTGCCGTGCCCACTCTTGTCCTCTGCCCACCCGTTCTTCTTTTTCCTATCGCCATCCTCCTCAGGTAGTGCTCCATCATCCAGGAGAGCTTCAACTTCAACCCACTCTTCCCATTTTTTCTTCTTCTTTCTTGGGTCCTCTTTGTTATCTGCAATTATCCCCTTGCCTTGGGATCGGGGATTGGAAGACGGGCAATATTTACCATGATGTGAGTTCCGTCCAGGGGCTTCTTTCCTTCTGTCCCAGACACCACTGCTCCCACATAACCACCAGGTCACTTTATCCTCCAAGTCCTTCTCCAGGGCTTCAAGTTCTGAGGTTGCTCTTTCCAAAGGTCTTTTGCGCTTTCGAGATTGGTCATCCTTCCCTGGCACACGTTCAGGACATACCTTTGCCGGCACTGCAAAGACATCTCCAGTGTTGAGCCCACCATCATGGCCATGCTCGACATCCTCTTCCTGAGCCAGCACATTGCCAGATCCTTTGCGCTCATTTCTGCCAACAGTGCCATCCATGGCAGTCTTCTCTTGACCATCCAAGATCGCTCCTCCCGATGACCTCATCCTTCCAGCATTCATTGCCACTTTATTCTTCTTAGATTCAGGAGAAATGGGCCCAGGGACTGACTGACTGTGCTCTCTGAGGAACTTCAGCTTGGCCGCTGAACAAACCAGAATGCGGTCAACAATGTCAAGACTGCTTCCTCCTGGATGACCGGTTTCTCCATGTGCCCGAGCATGATAAACCTCCCGATGCGGTTCTGAAACAGTCTCTGGCACACGTGGGTACCTGCTCATGCGTGTGATATCAGCTGTGCAATCATTGTCACACCTGTCGCTTGCAGCACTTCTCCCGGGATCATGATGTCCATCATGAAGCTCTGAATTCCGCCTCAACCCTGAATTCTTTGAATTGGCCTCATTCGTCTGCACCCGGCTTTCCTCCCTTCCCCGTTTTTCAAGATCGTTGCCGAGACAAACCCCCTCTCGCATGGGAAGGCATTTTCCTCCACCTTTCACCGCAGGGCTTGTGGCACAATTCTTCACACCAAGTTCTTCTTCTGCTAAATCATGGACGCTACCAGCAGCCTCTTTGTTAGACATGACACCACTTTTCCTGCCATTGCTCTCCAGAGTGGCAATTGAATTGTTATACGTCCCTGCCCCCCGTGAGTCCAGCTCCCGTGTCGAACAGTCAAGAAGTTCCCCGGCATATGCTGTCCTCAGTTCACTCCCACTAGGTGTCGGCCCATCCCCGTCTCCGCGGTTTGCACCCCCTATACATAATGCGTTGCCATTAGAATCGGTTATGAAGCAACTGGTAAGGCGGGGGATGCCATGATCCTCCCCTTTCCCGCTAACTGTGCGCATGCCTGTCTCTTGTATTCTACCTAACCCTGTCCCGCCTGCTTGACAGTTATTTGGCAGCTCCCTTCCATAGCTATTGGGACTGAGCAGAACACTGTCTAGTGAAGAGGTTTTGGCTGTTCCACTTACCCCATTAACCTCTGTAATGCCTGTGCACATAGGGCTGGCATCATCTTCCTCTGCGTCTTCACACATATGTTTGCTGTTCTGATTGCCTTTCCTGGCATGGTCCTTTTCTGCACTGCACATTCCTCTGTCCTTAGGCTTTGATACCACACCCCTGTCATCATTCTCAGCTTGATTTAGAAACCGACAGGGGTCTTTTTGGTTCCTTCCAGGGCTGGATGCCTTGGCTTCCTCACTTGCTCTACAAGCTTTTTCCCATGCTTCTCTGCATGCATGTATTATAGACTCCTGCTCCGTCAGGAACTCTGCCGCATTCCAGTAGAAAGGCAAGGTATCTAAAAAGTCACCGACCAGCATATCGTTTGCATCTTCGTCCCTGACACAGGGAGTGGCTGCACAGCCTCCCACCTCCTCCGTGTTTGCTCCTTTGCTTTCCCCTCCTCCATTCACATTGCAACAGGCATGACAATCCCTCTTTCCATCCTGCCATGCTGCAGTTGGAGGAGAAAACGCAGAAACCATATCGCAGCCTCTTCTGCTCAGTGCATTTGTTTGCATTTCTTCTTGGGGTCCACCATTACCAATCACGGAAGTTGCACCATTCACCGAATCACACACTCGTTGTCGTTTTACTGTCTTAGTTTGATCCTCAGTCTCGCTTTCCCTAGGTGGTGTTACTGCCATCCCGTCAGTGTAAGGGTTCTTTGGCCCCTTAAACAGCTGCTGATCTGCCAGCTCAGCACTGGATTGCCTGCATGCATCAACAATCCTACTCAACCAGGTTTCCACATCTTTCACTGATTGAAATCCTTTGCTGCCACTTTTTGCACCAGGCACCCTCTTCTCGCCACTGCCTCTTTCCGATCCCACTTTGCATGCATTTGGGCTGAAACCGAGGATGGCACGGCCTGTATGCTCAAACTCATCCATCACATGGTAGGACCATTGATTCTTCTTTCCAGGAACCTGAGGCCAGACGGACATCCACATGTGAGGATACACGTGTGTATGAGGGTATACAAAAGTAGGGAATGAGTAGGGAAGAGAATGGAGACATCAGGAAGGAGGGAGCTAGGGAAGGGAAGGAGGAGGAAGGGCAACACAAACGAAGGGAGGAAGGGAGGAAGGGAGGAAGGGAGGAAGGGAGGAAGGTACGAACGGAGGAAGGCAAGAGGGGAGGAAGNGAGTTGGTGGAAGTCGGATTAAACATTGCATCACAGCGAGTTCGTAGACCGTGAGTTTTTTTTTTTTTTTTTTCAAAACCTTGAGGTTTTTCTCGGAAGCCGCACAAATGCAAACACTCCCACACACGCATACGAACACGCACACACGTGCACCCACACAAGAGGGGGAGGGGAGAGCGAGAGAGGAAGAGAATAAGTGCGCGATCCAGCAGTCGAACACATGGTGTCGCACGCCCCCTTGAAAAAAAAAAGAAAAGAACAGAGGGAGGAAGACAGAAGGGTGGTTTCAGGGGATACTCACACCAGGGGGTTTCTTCTTTTCCTGGATGTATCTGGCCACAATACGACTCCCAATGAATGTAGCCATCCGTATTAACCACCTTTTTGCCCAATTGCGCGCCGCTCGGTTCGCTGCCGGCTTTTTTGTTGGCGTCTCCAGACCGCTGACAGCAGAACACCCTCTACCTTTTGTTGTCTTGGTCAGTGGTCAGTTGTCTGTCTACCGTTGATTTGCGAAATAGGAACCTGTTGAAAAAAAAAAAAAAAAAAAAAAAAAAAGGGAACCTGTTGAAGTGTGTGCAAGGAATCGATGAGATTGGGTGTCGCTTCGCTACTCAGCAAATGTGCAAAATAAGAATGGAACGTGCGCTAGAAAGTGGACAGATACATAGGCATATCTTTTGTCTGTTGTGCATATAGTGAGTAGTCGAGCGAGGCCCATGGTCGTGGAGAGGAGTAAGGAGGGAGGGAGTGGGAGAGGGAGGACCGGGGGGGGGGGGGGGGGGGGGGGGGGAGGGAGGGAGGGAGGGAGGGGGGGAGGGAGTAAGGATATGAGTGAGGGCACCTGATGCCATTCTCACTTCAAAATCCACAGACATGCAGCTGGATGGCATTCTGAACTGCACTAGCATGACAGTTTACTGATCCAGGACAGCGCCAGGATCTTGCCACTAAGCAACACAAGCTTTGTCTGAGGCAGACCCAGACTTGTCGAGTCATATCATTTGAGAAGTCCTAGAAAATGAAGGCAGGCATGACCAGTAGGGGCTTCTACATATGCAGATCTCAGTGCTTCGAAGTGAGAATGTCATTCCTGAGTCAGGCCATCACAAGTTTGGTCAGTAGGATAGCACCACGACAAATTAGGGAGCAGATTGCATAAAGGTATGAAACCTCATATAGAGGGTCGTTGTCTCAGTTGTATCTGTGAGCAGTATTCAAAACAAAAATATGGCTACTGCAGTGATGAAATCTACGTTCGAGGACCATGGAGGAGTGGAGAGCACAGCACACACAATAGAACAATGCAAACACTGAAGAGTGACATGCGCAAACATCACTTGTTCCTCCGTCAGCCATGCACCAAGTGTGGTCCTGCTCTGCAGTCATTGCTGCACCACATGGCAGCACCTATACAACTAAACGGAATAGCTGTACAGGTCTATGTAAAGATGGTTTTATACGACTCACGACACATAGCACAGTATAGTAGCTGATCCTTTAGCACAGTATAGTAGATTATCCTTTTACTTTCTTACTACCCAGACATAGGGTTGGTTCCAGCAAGATTTAAGATTTCGTTAACATACTGCGAACATGGGGCTGGGTGTAGAAACACGTTAGTGTTAGTAATCAGACCATGAGTTCCAGTTCTGATGGAAGTTACGGAACATCATTAACTGAGCAATGCTTTTTTTTTTTTTTTTTCAACGGAATATAGGATTTCGTTATCGCAACTTATTGAGCAATGTTATGGGTCATCCCCTTCTTTCAAAAAAAAAAAAAAGAAGGAAGAGAAAAACATTTTATTGACGTATACATCACAACAGAAATCTCTCAGGCCTGCCAGCTGAGTCTTCTGGTGCGTTCTTACTAACGTCTTAGTCAATAACCATAGATAGTATTGCATACAAACCATAGAGTACCAAATAGCATACACGATGCTACGATAATGGTATATACTATATACACAGCGCCTCAGGACGTACCGATTTGCCTTCTGCAGCAAGTACCATGGACCCATCGGGCTTTACAAGAAAGAAACTGCAGAACACAGCACACAGTCATATCGTGTCAGTCACGCAGGACCTTGGATGTCATTCATGACACTTGCACCTGGTCGTAAACTAAGATTTCCACCTTCATCTAGCAATGAGCACACAGGAACTGTTGCAACATAAAAAAGAACAGCACAGAGCATACAATTCACCAATTCACTCAAATAGGATCGGTGGAAAAGGTACCTCAACAGAGCAGATACCATGCAATTTTTGGGTCAGATGAGTTATAAATATTAAATTTTTGTTTTCACGGTGTTATCACATTCCTGAAACGACCTTTTGAAGTTTTGAGCACACCCTGAAAGAAATAATTTGATCTCAAAACGCTTCTACTTCACATACACTCAGATATTCTGGCCCGCACAAAGATTTTGCGCTCAGGAGTGAGGAGCCAATTCTTGTTTCACAACCCCATGACCTTTGCAGGCTCCGCGCGGTGAGAATATAGAGGAAACATCAAGAACGAATATGAATAAGGCTGCTCTTGAGAATAAGCCGGACAAACTTCGACATTCAACGAACAGCAGACCAAACAACAAGGAGCTGAGCCCAGTTGGCCCGCCGACCCAGACGTGCTTTCAACATTAACTCTGTCAAAATTGAAAACAGTTTGCACCCCAAGGCCCGTGTGATCAGGCGGGAGTGAGACCATGCCCTGAACCGCCATACAGGTGAACGGCGCTACCGAACCCTCCTGGTTGGTTTGGCTTTTAGCACATGGACAATGTAGTGCCATAATAGCATAGTTCGGTGCTTGCTATGCCATGTCAAACACACAGGAAGACGACCATGTGGAGCTGCAGCGAGAACACGTTGCTGAATCCAAGAGAGAACCACAAGAAGCTGCTCATGCGCACACACGCATACACAGAGGTGGGGAAACAGACAGAAAGACCAATGGGCCAATCAACTGACTGAGGTACAGATGAACCAATAGGCCGACTGATGTAACCAATGGGCCGGAAGGCAGGCAGACCAACTGGCCAACCGAAAGACCGACTGACTGGCCGGCAGATTGACTAGTGGAACAATCGACCAACAGAGCAACTGACCAACTGATCAATGGCGCAACCGTGACCGGCCAACAGGCCAACAGACCGACCCGCCCACCCACCAGCCAACCAACCGGACGAAGCTTTTTCCGCACTTTCCCTGGTATCGGGGAAAAAAAAGAAAAAAAAAGAAGCCTAACCACTGCTCCATCTCCCAAATTCTAAGTAAAAAAAAAACACACTTCACGGTTGTCACCGTATTTGAATTTGAACCAACTGAGTTGAAGGCTGCACAAAACTGGTACTCACTTTATTCTGCCGGCTTCCCGCTTTGTACAAAACTTTGAAAACCTCTGCAAACAAACAACACAAGCAAGGCCCCGTTAATTTTGTTTAAAACAAAAACAAAAACAAAATTCCCCGAGGGCACTGTGCCATGGCTCTCAGCCCACATGTGCCTCTAGCTGGGGAGAAGGGAGGAGGCTCCATTTGTGTGAATCGCATGTCCCAGGAACCCTGCAGCCTTCGAAAAAAAGTGGGCGTGCAGCTTTCAGACCTGTACTGGATTGCTGGGTTATTTTAACTTATTTGTGAATGAGGATTCACTTAACTTCTGACAAAAACAATTCAAATCTTCTGATTGCCAGTGCAACTGTGATGTGGAGGGCCATGAAGATACTGTGTTCCATATCACACCTGTGAGAACTGCAGGATTTCTGGGCCAGATTGAAAGGGTTCCCTTGAAAACACCGCATTCCCTATCACAATGTATGGTGAAGGGCAAGAAAGAGGGTAGCCAGAGTACAGTATTTTTGGTATTCTCTTCAACTGAATCTGGTTGCAGTGTGCACAAAATAATGTGGAGGGCCATGGAAATCCTCCTGTCAGCGGGACCCCCTAAGTCGATAATGGTAGGACATAAGTTTTCCCTTGTAGTCAATGGTCAAAAGTTCCTCAAAACACACACATGTGGCATCTGTACTTGGTAGGTCCAGGGGGTCCCTTGTAAGTAGTCCATGACATGAGGTGTACATAAAGGGAGGGGGGAATTCCTACTTCAGTTTTCATTACCTGGTTTTTACCTCAATGACTCTCAAGTAGAGGGTTTCCTTTCGCTTACCCATCTGTGCTGGGTGCAATTTTTTTTTTCTTCTTTTTGGTGGAGCGTCAGAAGGTCGTGAGCTCGTATGGGAATGAATTTCGTCATTCGTCAGGCCATTCTTTTCTTCCCTCGGCTGCTGCAGGCCTGGACGCATTCGACGAGAAGACATGAAAATGATCAGCTCGTGTCTTTGTTTTGTTGCACTTGGGAGGTCATCAAGTCCGAGTCAAATTTACACGTTGGCTCATTTGGTAATATCTCAGCTCAGGTAGTGCCTTGTTGTTACATGCCCAGTTGGGCGATGTACATAAAGAACCGAGGATCCACAATGTGATAAAAAGGACTGAATGGACAATGCAGTGCAAGTGAAATCTCAACAGGCAGTGTACATTCTGATACATACAAAAATGGTGCTTTATAGCGCAGGGGAAGACTTAGATACAAGTCCTGACCTGACCAGGACTGACCTCTATCACGTAGTGCAAGACAGCGAAGCAGAATGCTAGAATACCAATGACTAGCCCAATCAACGTTGCAACGCAGACCAAACATACATCATCCTCATCACAAGGTGTGAAGGGGCCTGGCACTACACAGAGGAAGAATGCGCCAGGTCCAAATCATGCACAGACGAAGAGGAGGGGAACTGACGAAGAAGAGGGGGAGAGATGGGAATGTCGTCAACACCGAGTCTTTGTTACGAGTCCCAAAAAATCCCTCGTCAAAATGTCTGAAGCCCAATGTCGAGTCTGGATCCAAATGTCACCAAGCCCGCTCTCTCATAGTCTGCTGATGCAGTGAAGTCAGGTAGCGAGAGGGTGAGAGGGTGAGAGGGAGATGGTGGACTGAGAAGAGGAAGAAGAAGAACTCTCTCTCTCTCTCATATGCCAGGTACTAATGTGCTGCAGGTACCTCGAAGGCGAAGCTGGAGCTGTGGCGCTGCAGGTAAGTATCCCTGGCCTCCACCCAATCTCTGTCTCTCTAGTACTACTCTAGGCTAAGCTCCTACGAGCGCCCAGCGCTGAAGACTACTGCTAACGCTATTAGCGCCCAGCGCTGAAGACTACTGCTAGCGCTACTACTACTCCTGCAGCGCTCCTCCAGCGTGCTGCTGCCGAATCCTCAAGACTACCTCCTGCCTCCTGAACTGCATGTGAAGTGCCTGGGAAGTACCTAGGAACTACCTGCAGCCTGCAGGGCGGGCAAGTCCTATATAGTGCTGGCCCGTCCAGCAGGCTGCTCTTGCCAATGCCAAAATTTGCCAGACCCTGGCGCTGAAGCTCAACCAAGGGTTGTCTTGAAAACAGGCCCAAAATGGCCTGTGCTAAAACCCTGGTCTGGTGCCTGAGTTTCAGGGCAGGTCGATCTTATGAGGGCCTGAAAAGCCCTCAGTTTCAGGCTGAAAAGACTCAGGGCCGGAAAGGCCCTGATTTAGGCTGAAACGACAAAGGGCCTGTAGGCCCTTGTTTTCAGGCTTTCAGCGGAAACGACACAGGGCCTGTAGGCCTTTCTTTTCAGGCTTTCGGGCTGAAAACGACACGGGCCTGAAAATGGCCCGTGCAGCCTGTTGCAGCCGCAGCATGTAACACTTGTCCTGGCCTTTCACTTTTGTCCAAACCAGGGTGGCTGACAGACCACTTACCGAGCTAGCAGCTGCAGGCTGGGATCCAACCTGAGACTTAGAATCAGGATCAGGGTGGCCTTCACGAGAAGAGAGAGGCCCCACAACCTTGAAAATGCGATCTGGAAGGGTCAGATGGCAGGGCGTATGGAAGAATAGCTCAGGCCATCACCAACGTAACTAGGTATGGAAGAGTAGATCAGGCCCTCAACAATGCAAGTAAAACTGTAAAAGCAGGAAAAAAAAAAAGTTCACTCTAACTCTTGATGGCAGCAGTATGGTTCTGGATCAGAGCCAGATGCTGATTGTAGTAGTGCTGCCACTTTTAGAAGCTTGATGTGGCTTTAAACCGCAAGTACACGGCCCCAACCTTGCAGAAAGTTTTTGTCGCCACAAGCAAAACTCGGAGGGGCCGCACGGCGTGGGGCGCCATTGAAAAAGAACATTGCCGGCCTCCGAAGTGGTGCGGGTTTCGTGCTGACACCCGCGGGCCGATGTGTGGTGTACTGGTGCTTTAAGGTAGGTGAGGAAATGTCCATAGTAGGAGCTTGGGAAGAAAGACAGGGGCTGGCTAGGAGTAGAAAGGTGCATTGTGGATAGTGAGTAGGCGTTGATGAAAAGAAAACTGTGAGGTTGCTATCATGACTCTAGGGGCCGCTGTTTGATGCTCATAGGCGTTGATGAAGTGAAAACTGCGAGGTTGCTATCACACTCTACTGTAGGGGCCACTGTTGATGCCCATGAGTCAGTTCTGTTTCCCCATCATGTCTTCGTCACCTCCAGGGGTCGCTGAGGCCATGAATCTTGTACTGAGTGGGTTATGTCTGTGACAGAGATGAGTGGAGTGTTGCACTGCTGTGTCGCCCAGCCTCTGAGCCCTCCCCCTTTAACGTCTTGCCTGCTGACAGAGCGACACTGGGAGAGGGAGAGTGGTGTAATTGCCACTTGGATATTGCCAATGGCAAAGGGACCTTTCTGCAACTGGTTATTGTTAACACCATTCTGCACCCCCTGGTTGTGACAAAGATAGCTGTGGTGACTGATAGGCACAGAAAGCAGTGGTGTTATAATCTTCTCCTGTCGCCGCTTTCTGACTCTCCCCCTCCTTCCACCTGCTGCAAACACTTGCGCTCCCCTGACCCTCCCGTACAACCATGTATCATACAGCCATCGTTCACAGAAGTTCATCCAAACCAAGCCGTCATGGGAGATGCAAGGAGACAACAGCGAGGTCCTAAATGACTCCCTAAACCAGAGTCAGGACGGGAGGCCAAATTGAAGGCGAGAGTAACAGATTGCCACAACTTTGGCGGGGGGGGGGGGGGGGGGGGGGGGGGGGGGGGGGGGGGGGGGGGGGGGGGGGGGGGTGTGGATGAGGAGAGCATTCCGTGTGAAGATGTAAATGCTCATAGCAGCACTTCTCACAGTGATGCTCAGTCATTCAGCAATCCATTCACCGGTCTATTTCGGTAAAGAGTTAGGGTGCAAGCACCTGTTTCCTCTCCATGCTTGTCTGATCGACTGGCAAACCTTTCCTGCCAAAACCGCTCCGCTTCTGTGGCCTTGCTTTTGCACCTGCAAAATGATACATACATGTGGTACGTTTTCAAGCTGTTGGTAAGTGAAGATACAAAGTCCATCCCCTTATAAATGGCCTTTGAGAATCACACAGGTGCTCACCACCCATGTTGGAACATCGACATACCCCCTGACTGGTGGTTAAAGGGCTTTAGGGGACCCTTAGTTTACAAAGCAAATTAACCAATCAACCGCTCCCACGTTTGCCTAGCCACCGGCGCTTGAATAGAACTCCTGAGACTTATGTTCGGGATGCAAAGTTTGCCTGGCCAAGGGCTTTAGGGACTCTTAAGCCGCCGGAGCTTGAATGAACTAGTGGAAGTTATGTTCGGGGGACTAACGCAGTCAGCGCATGAAGCATAAAAAAGGCCAAGGCACTATTCTTAGCATTCTGTTTGCAGCTTTGCCCGGCAACAACAGCACCCATAATTTGAGCCAGACAATTGTATTTGCCTCCAATAATAGCGAGCTGCCCATGGAAATGTGGACGAAGGAGTACCCAACAACAGATCTGCGACAGTCAAAGAGAGATGCGGATGACACGACGGGCGTGCTGAAGGCTCTAATCCCTTTGCTCCCTTCCGGCCCTGTAAGGATCAAAAACGTTTTTGAACAATAGTTCAGGGCCAGAAGCCATTTAGGTTATTCCTCGGAGAACGCCCCCTAATGAACCTCAAGATCAACAAATTGGCAGAGGGTTGGAAAATCTTGGAACCCCCTCGAAAGTTCAGCTCTATTACAAAATATACTCCCTCCTTTCGATGCCAGGTGAACAGTCAGAAGTGCCAAACCCTGCAGGTACCAGTCGAAACTCCAAAGCCAATTGAGAGAGAACCTAAACGGACTGTTGGATGGCTGAATGGCACGTCCATGTGACTGCAGTATCAATAGACAAATCTATAGTTCAAACTATAGTATCAATAGACAAATCTATAGTTCAAAGTTCAAACTATAGTATCAATAGACAAATCTATAGTTCAAACTATAGTATCAATAGACAAATCTATAGTTCAAATCGGTAGACGTTTCCCAGTTAAAACAGACAACATGGCCAAGCAGCATCAGCCCTTCAGTCCCAGCTTCAGCTTGGGTTAGTTTCCTGTTCAAGGAAGTGGGGGCGGTAGACAAGAACTTAGGACTCGTACCCCCTGCACAATCAGAAATTAAGTCCAGTCACGACTCTGAAACCACGACTACTTCAGTGACTGTTTTCCTGAGACTCCGAGAATTTACACCCATTGGGCCATAGGTAGTCTCTCTCTCTCCCACAACTCACAGCCTGTGCACCAAACATATCCAAAACCATGCTGTACACAGAGGGAGTTTTGGGTGTCATCTGCAATGAGAGCTTATATCAGGACCAGGTGGACGGATGTCCTGATGGAGGACAGCATGGCCAACCAGCATCCGCCGTTCAGTCCCAGCTTGGTTTAGTTTCCTGTTCAAGGAAGTGGCGGCCGTAGACGAAGAACTCAGGACTCGTACCCCCTACACGATCACAAATTATGTCCAGTGACGACTCTGAAACCACCACTACCTCAGCGGCTGTCTTCCTGAGCCTCCGAGAATTTACACCCATAGGGCCATAGATACTCTCTGTCCCCACAATTCACAGCCTGCGCGCCAAACATACCCTAAACCATGCTGTACACAGTGGGAATTTGGGGGGTCCTCTGCAGTGAGAGCTTTTGTAGCAGGAAATGGTGCACAGATGTCCTGATGGAGGGAGAGAGACTACCGTCTTCGCCCGAATAGAACGCCCAGTCATTATCGCTGTATTTAGACTGGAAGTTGGCCCAATACAGCTATAATGACCGGGCGTTCTATCCGGGTGAAGACGGTAGCTCAACAGACATGAACTCACCGCAGCAGAACAGAGGAAGCCGAGAGAGTGAATGGACATGCGATTATCCTAGCAGCACACAAGTGAATTTGTGGATTAGGAATTGACCACAGTTAGGTGAAAGCTTGGGCAGCATTAGGTAAAAAGCTTGGGTACAACACAACAGTTAGTTAACAATGAATTTAAAAAAAAATGGCTAAGTTAGAACAGTTAGGTGAAATTGTCCTTCGGGACATGCGGTAAAATTGGAACGATACAGAGAAGCTGATTAGCATGGGCACTGCGCAAAGGATGACACGCATAAATCAAGAAATGGTCCAAATTAAAAAAGAACAAAAAAAAAGAAAAGAAAAAAAGAACAGTTAAGTGACCTGCGGGTGGGTGCAACTCCCGGATGTTCCCTCGTTGGAGGCTTGAGCACAGATGTGGCTGCTATGGGGTTCCCCGTAAGATACTATAATACAGTAATAATGACAATAAACAAAGGCCTGAAAGGCCGTCCTGTCCAGATTCAACAGTGCAAATTCTGCGCAATTGAATTGATTGGGCTTAAAAGAATTAGCCTTTTTTAAAAAAAAATAAAAAATGAGAAAAAAAAAAAAGCTTGGGCCGCATTAGGTGAAAGCTTGGCCACAACAACAACAGTTGAGAATGAATTCAAAAGTAGCCAAACTTAGAGGAAGGCTTGGGTCCTGAGCTGAACTGGTGTTTGCCAAACAGTGAAAATTTGGTAAGGGAACTTTGGCGCCAAAATGTGGGAAATACTGACACCCGGAAGTTCTTGAAAAGGTATGGGTACCCTGAGGTCCAGAGTGAAAAAGCCGGCATGCTACCAAAGCTCCAACCCAAATGATAACAAACTCTAAAGCGATAGTCGGGGATAGGATGGAAAAGGTTCTCTCACCAGCAACCTGCACAGTCAATCCTCTGGAGGACAGAGTAATCAATGCTGGGAGGTGTCTTACTCAGTTGTATTTCCTGATATTTTCCTGGAAAAAAAAAAAAAAAAGGGCGCGCACTTGGCTTGCTGGGGGCCTTAGCCCAGAACAATGTGAAAAAAAAAAAAAAAAACTCTAAGTATGTGAGCCAAGCCAGCAGAGGAAAAGTAGTAAAGTACCAGGCAACCAGGCTCCTGATGGATTACAGAAAGCTGGGAGAGGCGCTTGAGTTCACTTCGGTCAGTTCCCTGCAACACTGACAACCTTTTCGACAGAGGAGAGGATTCCTGAACATCCAGCAATCACAGGGCGTAGCCACACTACTCACGCAGCGAAAAAAATTGTCGGTGCACCTTATAGCACGGAAGATGGCAAAATACATCTTTTCCTACTTGTGGTAACCGGCGTATCTTGCCATCTTCTTTGGAAAGACGCACCTGCGTTATTTTTGTGTTTCGTGAGTGGTGTGGCGATTTTGACAATCTGCAAGTAAAATTGAGTCCACGGTATTATAAGAGCTACCTTCTTCCCCCGAATACAACGTACAGTCTTTATAGCTGTATGTTAGACATCTTTCAGTCTAGATACAGACAGCTATGATGACCGTACGTTGCATTCGGGGGAAGAAGGCAGTGCCAGGCAGGCAGGCAGGTGGCGGGATAACTTCAGAAAACTCACCTTCAGCTTTTTGCGCTCTGCATCCTCCAGGGTCAATATCTCTGCTATCCCCCATAACACAACCGCCTTCCCGTTTTCTTTCTTCACAGATGATCGTATGCACTCTTCGCTGTGGCCTATACACCGTTTTCCAAGCATCCCATCTACGATTTACACGGTTCAAGTACACTTCCCTACCATCCCCATAAAGAACCATAATCTCCCATCGTCTCTTTGTTTTGTACAGTGGCCCATCTTTCACACCCGTCTGGGGTTTCCCGGCACCCTCCATCTCTGCACCTTTGTTGGTCTGCATTGCGATCTCTGGCTGCCTGACCTTCTTCCCTCCTAGAATGTTGTTTTCCCCCACTTGCCTACCTAAGCTAGTACCTCCTGCTGCTCCTTCAGCCCATACACCATCGTTTCCCAATCCGCCATTCCCCATCGTCATAATATCGCATTTCGCTGCAGCACCCTCCTCCCTTTGTCCTTCCTTTGCGCCTTTTTCTTTTTCTCGCACTCCCACGAGCTCCGTGGGACGTGCCACCTCCTGACTTGGCAACACCACCGGCGAGTACAGCGGCTGAACCAGCAGAGCAACACGGTCACGCGCATCCTCAGGCTCCTCCTTGACAGCTTCGATTAGAGCTCGTGTGTACCTGCTCACATACAACAGAAGCAAGTCGGTGAGCAATCAGAATGCAGGCCCAAAACAAAAAAGGTAGGCCACGTGAAAGTTTCTATCTAGTTACAGCACAGGTGAATACAAAGGCTGAAGCAGCAGAGCAACACGGCCACGCACATCCTCAGGCTCCTCCCCAACAGCTTCAGCTCATGTGTACCTGATCAGATACAGCAGAAGCAAGTCGGTGAGCCATGAGAAAGCAGGCCCGAAACGAAAAGTAGGGCACGTTTCTATTTACTATTTAGTTACAGGTGCTCAAGTTGTGCAACGAATGTTCCATTCCGTCATTCACAATGACCGATTGCAAACATGCATGTACTGAAAGTATCCATCCCTGCCTGCCTTCGGCAATGACCCATCAGTCTGAGCGGTCGCGGCCTGAGAAGCAGACGACGAACTGCTGAGATATGTGTTCCTGGACTCGGAAAACACATGGTTTAAACCGCAAGTACACGGCCCCAGCCTTGCAGAAAGTTTTTGTCGCCACAAGCAAAACTCGGAGGGACCGTGCGGCGTCGGGCGCCCTTGAAAAAAAAAATTGCCGGCCTCCGAAGTGGTGCCGATTTCATGCTGACACCCACGGGGCGATGTGTGCTGTACTGGTGCTCTAAGGAGTATTGCATTGCAACCCTGAAAAGATGGGCAAAGTGGATTGAAGTTGAAGCTCTCCTGGATGATGGAGCACTACCTGAGGAGGATGGGGATAGGAAAAAGAAGATCGGGTGGGCAGAGGACAACAGTGGGCACGGCAAGGAGCGTGAACGGGATAGAGTGCTCCACATTCTTGTTTCGTTCTCCGGAGGATAGAGTGCTCCATTCCTTCATTGTGAGAATTAACAATTTAACAATAAAAAAAGTGGATGTTGTTTCAAGGAGGGGGGATAGAATGAGTGCAGGCATTATTGTTGATGCTGTATGAATGAACTTCCTTCATCTTTCCTCTTCAATTCTGCTTCTTTTTTTCCTTCTTGCCCACTCACTCTCTTTCTATGCCTTTGTGAGCTGTGCTCAACTCGATGAGTCAATGTTGGCTTCTTTCATCACTAAATGAGCAAGGAATAAAGCACTTCATAAATCCTTCAACGCCTACCTCCCCTTGTGCCTCTCTCTCTCTCTCTCTCTCTCTCTCTCTCTCTCTCTCTCTCTCTCTCTCTCTCTCTCTCTC